AATTTTTTTAGTATATTACTTGTGTGGTGTAGAGGATAATTATTTATGTAGAGATACTGCTTGCAAACCAATGATGGTAAGATGATGTCATGGGGTAGGACTGGATAAGTCTGACTTCTTCCTACTCCATTCAAGCATGTACTAGATATAAGCAAATTGATATTGGATTATGTGTAAAATTATGTGTGTTGTCATATCAACTGTTTTTACATGCTTGAAAGAATAAATCAAATCAAATCAAACTGGCAGAGTCACTGACTGAGAAACAACAGTGGTGCAGGGAGGGTTATGCTCAATCAGACATGAGTATTTTACCTCAGCCAAAAGTGTGAGGGCGTGAACGCTGTATACTGATGGAGTGAAGCTGGAGGCCTCCATCACTGTGATCATTAAATCTACAAAATACACAAACATTAGCAACAGCTACAAAGCGGATTACAAAAATGTCAAGCAAAGTCTAAAGCATCTGCTAGAGCATTTAGTACAAGTAACCAGAAGGATCTGGGTGCTCTGGTTTGTCTAGTTACAGTCTTATGCAAAAGTTTAGGCACCCCTTGATAAATAACAGATTTTGGTGATTTTTTATTTGAACAGATGTTAACACAGTTTCTCTTGGAAATGGAAAAAATGCACAATATTTTCTGCAAACAGTGATGCATAGTTACTTCTTATGCCATAAATTGAACAAAAATAAAAAATAAAAACATTATTATGGCATGGTGCAAAAGTTTGGGCACCCTAAGAGTTCCAGAGTCTCAAAGTCTCTCACAAGGTATCAGACCTTAATCAGCTCGTTAGATCTGATGCACAGCAACAGCTGTCATTGGTAAATGCCAATTTCAAAGCTGTACAAATACTTTGACTCTTCAAACCTTGTGCACACACTTGTGGACACCCAGCAACCATGGGTTCCTCTAAGCAGCTGTGTAAGACCCTGAAAATGAAAGTTATTGACGCCCACAATGCAGGAGAAGGCTACAAGAAGATAGCAAAGCGTTGTCAGCTTGCAGTTTCCACAGTAAGAAATGTAATTAAGAGATGGCAGATCAGGGGAACTGTGGAGGTCAAGATGAGATCTGGAAGACCAAGAAAACTCTCGGACAGAACTGCTCGTATGCTGGTCAGAAAGACAAATCAAAACCCCCATTTGACTGCAAAAAACCTGCAGGAAGATTTAGCAGACTCAGGAGTGGTGGTGCACCGTTCCACTGTGCAGCGATGCTTGCACAGACAAGGCCTTCATGGAAGAGTCAGCAGAAGAAAACCTTATCTGCGTCCCCATCATAAAATCCAACGTCTGAAGTATGCAACAGGACATCTACAGAAGCCCGATGCGTTTTGGAAACAAGTGCTGTGGACTGATGAAGTTAAAATAGAACTCTTTGGACACAATCAGCAAAGGCATGTTTGGAGAAAAAAAGGAGCAGCATTTCATGAAAAGAACACCTTGCCAACTATTAAGCATGGGGGTGGATCTATCATGCTCTGGGGTTGTGTTGCAGCCAGTGGCACAGGAAACATTGCACGGGTGGAGGGAAGAATGGATTCCACTAAATACCAGCAAATTCTGGAAGCAAACATCACACCATCTGTAAAAAAGCTGAAGCTGAAAAGAGGATGGCTTCTACAACAGGACAATGATCCTAAACATACCTCGAAATCCACTATGGAATACCTCAAGAGACGCAGGCTGAAGGTTTTGGAATGGCCATCACAGTCCCCTGATTTAAACATCATTGAAAATTTGTGGGTAGATCTTAAAAGAGCTGTGCATGCAAGACGACCAAAGAATATTGATTTAGTGTCTAACATTCAGATTATTCTAAAACTTCATTTAGATAGATTACATTAATCTCTGACAAAGGCATTACACTTTACTTTTAAAGAGCCCATATGGGATTCTGTTAACAGCTACAGGTTTAGGTTATTAGCTAGTTACACTTAAATTGTATAATCTTGCTTCATTTGATTACACTTATCAAAACTAAGCTCTCATATTAATACATTTTGACAACACAAAACATATTAAACCATTCACTTTAAATGCAGAGTCAAAAATTTGTGATTGGGATAACTCAGTTTGGTGGCAAACCAGTGACACAGAATTAGCCTTCACTGACACATTTGTCGGTGCAGCATTAAGGTCAGCCAGTGGTTGCAGGCAGCACACCTTCTACATCAGGTTCCAGGTTGGCTCCATCCACAACTATCTGAGGAGAAGATTTCACCTCCAGGTTTCTCCTCAGCCATGTGGTTTGTTCCAAAGACGACCCTGCGATTGTCCCAATGGCCTCCACAACTTTATGGGTCACGTCCTAAATACACAAATGATACTACTTTATTAAGATGTCATTTTCAATATGATAAAATTATTGTGGCTAATGCTACGATTCTGTGTTAATGTAGACCATAAAATTAAGTCACAACTTCAACTTGTCATTGAGATGACAAAGTCTAATAGTTACACAGTGGGTGATACAATCAAAGATACATTATTTAATTTTAAGACCCAATGAAAACAATTTAGGGTTGAATTGGAGTCAAGGTGGCTACAGTAATTACCTGCAGCTCCCGCTGGTCCTTCTTGCTCTCCAGATTGGGATTCTTCAAAATGAACTCATTTAGCACTCTAGAGAAAAGCAAGACAAGGGGAGAGCAATGTTAAATAAGCTAACAAACATTATGTGGAAGTGGAAAGTGTAATGTCTACAGACTGATTCATTTAGACTGTGACCATTTAACTGTGAAATCTCCAACATTCAGAAACTGCCAAATTATTAGGTAAATTGTAAATCTACTGTATGTTGTGAGAATACAGGGAAACCTGTATGACAAATAAAAGGAAAGAAGAAAGCTAAACCAACCCGAGTATAAGAAACTGTCCTGGGGCAGGCAGACCTAACTGCACAGAGTCCTTTAGCAGAGCAAGTAAAGATGGCCAGCTGTCCACTAAACTGGACACAGGGATCCTAAAAGAAAAACCGGGCACAAGAATGTGCAAATTATAAGAAGGCTTGGCACATATACTGTAGGACCTTTATGAATGTTCGATAGACTAGAAATAATGGCAGTTAAATAAGAGAAAAATATATAAACTGATCTTGGAAAGCAATGGACTCACTTCTGGACATAGGCATAGAAGAACTGCAGCATGCAGACCTCCAAAGACAGGTGCTTCTGTGGGTATAGTGAGGAAATATAATGAATGACCATAGACAAGGTGAAACTAAAAGACTTAGCAGAATTATACAGTAGTCTTTCTCAAAAAAGCCCACAATATATCAAACAAGCACATATCTTATACAATGTTAACAGTGTGGCATGAAACAATTAAAATATGTAATTTGGAAGACTCATCCAAAATTTTGCGATGGTGTGCATGACTCGGAGTTCATCCCAAACAAATATGGCGACAGGTTTAAGAACTGTATTTCAAAAAGATTAACCAACTATAATTCATTTGTCCAAAAGGGGACACTGCAAACCTTTGACACCCTGAAACATAAATATGGCTTGAGCTCCGAGGACTTCGTCAGATACTTACAGGTTAGACACTATTTTAATAAGAATATCAAAGTACCCTTAGCCGACCAGGGATTCCTTCAAACATTTATTTCACTAACAAAATCATTGTCACCCACAAAAATTATTTCTAAATTATACAACAGCATTCAGCAGAGTAAGAGGAGGAACACATATTACATAAAAGAGAAGTGGGAAAAAGAAGGGAGGGTTAACTATCCCAGAGGAGAATTGGGAACACATATGTCAGATGCAATGGGCTTCAATGGAATCGAACATTTTGCACAAATTTTGTTGGAAAAATATTACCAGATTTTTCATTACCCCTACTCAAAAAAGATATCAAGGAACTGGATGAACATTTGGTGCGAATTTAGTTTGAAAAATATTATCAAATTTTTCATTACCCCTGCTCAAAAAAGATATCAAGAAACTGGAGAAGCTTGTTGGAGATGTGGCCACAACGGGGCAAATCACTTCCATATCTTTTGGAATTGGAAGGTTGTTCACAAATACTGGTCTGAGATCCATGAACATTTACAAAACAAATTTTCAATTACCTTACCATTAACATTTGAAACCATGTATCTGGGTAATATAGTAATTGATGAGTTTAATAAGAAGGACAAGAAACAGGTGCATCTCAATAAAGTAGAATATCATGGAAAAGTCCATTTATTTCAGTAATTCAATTCAAATAGTGAAACAATTGGTGGGTTTTTGTTAAATGTGGGCCAAAATCATCACAATTGGAAATTTATACAATGGATTAAATGTCCTTTTCACTCAGACTGCAGAAGGACACATTTTACCATATATGGTCGAAATGGACAGAATATGTGAAACCTGTAAGGCCTGACTTGTATAAAACCACTGGGTGTCTATGTAGTAGTGAAGCTACATTGACTATCTATACACAGTGAGGTACCAATAGAGAAGAGGTTCCCCTACCCCAGTCATGTTCTTTGTTTGTTGTTGTTTGTCATTTTGTTTTTCTGGTTTAAAAAAAAAAAAAGCAACAGTATTGTATGGTAATACATTGCAGATTGTACTCATTATGCAGCGTGCTTTTTCATTAAAAAAGTAAATTGAAGAAAAAAGCCCACAATAAACAAAAATCATAACATAAAGTACAACAAATAATATATACTTACGGCCACGTAAGTAAACTGCATGTATACTAAACCACTTAAGCTATAAGACCTACAGGTCTTAGGGAGGAGGTTACAATACAGGTGTACAGTTGACACCAGCAATAAACAGTAAACAACCAACCTTGTCCTTTGCAATGGCAGGTGGCTGTTTGAGAACCTCTTTGACTGTCTGCATAACTGTCTCAGTGCGCATGGCGCTCACTGAACGAACCAGCTCAACCAGCAGCAGCTGCTCTTCACTGGCTAAAGGAATCACCTGAAAGACATATAGAGGGGGGTCAATAATATGGATCAAGTAAGTTTTACTGAAACATACAATATCAATCAATAAGATCCTTCCAGCTGTTATTTTGATGTGTCAGATACACATTTGCTGCAGATAGATAGATACGTAGATAGATACTTTATTACAGACTCAAGGTCCAGATGTATAAATGCTAAAAAAACAAACAAACAATAAAACCATGAAACAATTCGCAATAAATAATAAAAAGATGATAACAAGAACAACAACCAATAAACAACTACCCTTTTAAAAGGCAGGTATACCAGTGTTTCCAAAGTACTGAAGTATATCACATGTCACTATTAAAACAATGTTGTTTCCAGAACTATTCAAATGACAAATAAATTTATACATTCAATTTCTTAAAACAGCAGATAGTGTACTGATCCGAGATGACACAAACAATTCACTGGCATTCATCCATCTAGGCCTTTTCAATACTAACTTCAAGGCGTCATTATAGGCCACTATCAGTTTCCTAAGACTGCCTTTTTTATAATCAGACCATAGATGAGCAGTGTATAGGGAGGTACAGTACGCTCTAAACAAAGTCAATTTTACTTCATCCGGGCACGAACCAAATTTCCGAACCAACACATTTGCTTGTGCATACAACATGCGGCACTGCCGATACATATCCCGTCATCAGACAAGCAATCATTTATAACATGACCCAAGTACTTAACTTCATTACACACAGTTAAAATGTTACCAGATAA